TATGTTTAGGTCAGTTCTCATTGGTCAGATACGTGTCACGTGTATTAGAAACTTATTTTTTGTATGTTTAAGTGGGCAACAAGTGGCATTGTGTATTATTAGTTGGGTACGTTTGTTTGTCTAGTAGTGTTTTTTTATCTTTCCTTTTTTGCGACCAACCCTCGTAGCTGGGTGTTGCAGGGTTCTGATATTATGGGTCGCCTCTTTAGGAATGCATTCTTTGTATCGGATAGATATAAGTTAGATTCTTTAAGAATTGATACAAAAAAGTATGGCGATGTAATGTAATCTTTTTTTGTTTAATGTTCAGTGAAAAATGTCATAAAGCTTCGGTCTCTGATTGGGACCCGGAAGGGTATGTGTATACAACAGAAATTAAAGGAAATAATAATAATAATAATAATAATAATAATAATAATAATAATAATAATACAAAACACCAACAATCGGTCTTCAAAGATACCTGGGAACTACAGAAGACTGGATGATGGTCTGTATCAAAGAACTCGACAGAAATAAGAAACTTTATTCAGTAATAAAGGAAGCCATCAAATTCAAAAGAGAATTTCAAGTGGGTGAAGTGCAAATAAACCATACTACACCTACTGCAGCGTCAAATAACCTAAAAAAGAAAGCAAAAACAAATACAGAAACGATGGCAAGATACTCCCCTTCAAACTCAATAGTCTTCCCTTGCCCAACAAACTGCCTACGCATTAATGGTTACGTAGTGCAAGGTTAAACGCTGAAAGCTTTTATTCTTGCTGCACAAGAGCAATGCTTGCTAACTAGAAATTACCAAGCACACATACTGAAAAATTGTGTTGATTCCAAATGCAGATTCTGTGATAAATATCCAGAAACAACTATTTTGTGCTAGGTTGTACAGTATTGACACCCGTCTAATATAAAACTCAGTAATGACAGAGTTAGCCAATGTCTGCAATGACAACTTTTACAGATAGGAAACTGGAAGTAATTGGTATAAACATCACACAGACCGGGAAGATAGGACCTGTAACACTAATTTAATGGACTTTATAACACAGACAGAACAATCAAAACTAATCAATCAAGCATTTTGATGAACCCCCCCCAAAAAAAAAAACAGAATTACGCTTTCTTATTGATATGTCAGTCAATTTAGATTATAATGTATATTTGAAGATTTTCAAAATACAAAGATCTTCAAATAGATAGCTAAAATATGGCACATGAGAACATCAATAATTCCAATTGTAGCTGATCCCGCGGACTGATTGGAAAAATAGTTCGATAGACTCATTAAAGGAATTCCGTGTAGGCTACACATTAAAGAAATACAAAAAATTTTTACTGACAAGTAAAGTTCACACATTACGAAGAGTTTCCTCTATGTAAAATATGTACGTTCTTTGCTTGTTTGTTTGTTTGTTTTTTTTTACAAAAAAATGATCAAAATATCATGAAGCGATTTCTTACCTTAGGTCTCTGGTTGGTATCCGGAAATAAATGTGTATACAACAGAAAGCCAAGGGTAATAATAATAATATCAATTAATGATTATATCCGTGGATAATGCTCATATCCCCAGGGAAATCAATTTTACATGGTTTTTACTCTATTTTCCACTTGGTTTAAGGTCAAAGAATCACTCAAGTTATATGGGTAGAAAAGGTGGACATTTTATAAATTTAAAAGAAGATAGTAAAAAGTGGAAATTTTAAAGCTTATGTAGGATAGACAACAGTTACATGTGGATTTAAAGAGGTTAAAATTGCAGTGATCCGGGAAGCACTCACTCGGGAGTCTGTTCCAGAAAACAGCGGCTTCTATTGGGGAATATTTAAACAATTTATACTACTGAAAGGTGTATGCACATTCTGATATATTCACATGACTCCACAGATTTTATAATGTCTTTTTGCATATTTTGAAAGTCTTATTATTTTACTGAATTTTACACATTTTCCATAACTATTCAGACTCGCCAGACTTTACATATTTAATCTAAACTTTATCTATACATACGTATACGTATATATATATATATATATATATATATATATATATATATATATATATATATATATTAACGAAAAATTTAAACTACTATAAATGACATCATAGAATTAAATCATGCTGTAAATATCAGCTATATCTGTAGCAACAAACTTAATCTGTTTGACTTGCAGTTTCTTACGATTTCCGGTTGCAACTCAAACATAAATAGTCATATAATAATAATAATAATAATAATAATAATAATGCCTACAACGCTAAAATCAATAAAGATAGCTGAAATCCCGACTGTAGCTTATGCCATAAATTTGATGAAATTGTTGACCTCATAGTATCCGGTTGCCCTGTCCTTGTCGAAAAAAATGCATAATTAGACATGACAGACCCGACCAACATTGGCATGTCTGTTCGAACTATGGTATTGACGTCCTGGAAAGATGACGCAAACACCACTCTAGTGACGTCACAAATGGTGATGAAGTGACTATACTTTCGGATTTTCCAATCGTCACAGACTAGATAATTGATGCAAATAGACCAGACATGCTCATAAAAGATTTCAATAAAGGAACCTTCAAATTAATTGATATAATTTGCCGACAGAATTCCATTGTTTCTAAAGAAAAAAAGATTTTCAATAAAGGCCTGCAAATCGACGTAAAAATGAAATTTTAAGAATAGGATTATCCAAACCTTCGTCCTTGCATTGAATACTTTTGCCTTATATAGTCTGCTGCCCCCGCTGTTCATTGCGAGGTCCTCGACAAAATCAAGTGATGGATACGCAATGTGACAGGTCTTTATCTGGCATCTCGTCTAGAATCACACTCTCACAGACATGCTGTGGCCTCCCTCTGTCTTTTCTACAAATATTTCCATGGCGTTTGCTCTGACGAGCTATTTTCCCTGGTACCCCAACTGCATGAATATAAGCGGGCTACTAGGCTGAAAACTCGGACCCACGCTTTCACTGCTGAAACGGTTAAATATAATCGCCTCTTCAACTCCAACAGCTTCTTCTCTCGCACTTCCCGGCAGTTGAACTCCCTTCCTCTTACTTGCTTCTATGATAACTATAATCTTCAAATATACAAATGTAATGCGAATCAACATCTTCTGATATCGTGATCCTGATCCCCATCTTTCTTTACGTCCTTTCCTCAAACAACCCTCTTTACTCTTGCTCTCACTTTCTGTAACCCTTTGCGTGTTAGTGCACTCCTGGCTTGCTTGGGGTGAAATGCTTAAAAAAATCCCTGTTGTGAATGGGACGTTGGGTATGACAAAGAATGGTACTGCAAACTATGTGAGTAAATTTCTTGGACACGTCATCATCTCAGATCTACAAAAGATTGTATTGTGCGGAACAGCACATATCATCCGCAAAGCCCTTTCTAATCTAAACGAAATGTCCCATATATATATATATATATATATATATATATATATATATATATATATATATATAAATATCTCTCCTACAGTGCCCTTTTTACTCATATGCCCCTGAGGGGACTTCGTAATTGGGGACTTGAAATTGCTCTCTAGTAAGAAATTACTACACACAGTAATAATGAGATGACTAATGTTTATAACTGAAAAGAGTTCATATCAAAACACTATTGACTACACAAATATCCGTCATTCGCATTGAGCCTTATAACTGCAATGTTTGAAATTCCAGTCATCCGCATTTAATAAATTTTTGCTTCGTTCATCTTGCGTTACTTGTCTCGTGGTTAGCCTAATGGCTACACCTGCGAAATATCCATACGGCAAACTGAGTTCGAATTCAAACTTTCTTTCGTAGCGTTCGCTCCAATTTGGGAAATGTTGTAACGCTTTACGCCTCTCTCTCTCCCATCTATGTGTTAAATGATAGATCAAACATGAACAGCGCGGCAGCTGGTCTCGGAGAATTGTTCCTCTGAATTAGGATCCATAGAGAAGACAACTGGTAGCCACTTCACTATCTTTCCAAAGAAGTCATGACAGTTCACAGATAGCAAAAAAGAGTCTACAGAGAACCATCTCCTTAAATGACATGAGATGCAAAAATATCTTGTTTTTCTTCTTTGATCGTATTTATTAATAGGCTTCTGGAGATGCGGATGGTGTATTGCTTAGCGGCTCGGTGCGAGAGATAGGCGAACTGTGGTCGAATTCCAGACAAGGTATTTTATGTGCATTTTCGCGCAAATATCTTTTTTCAATTTATCAATCAATCATTCCCCTACTCAGTTGTTGGCTAAATCGCAGGGAATATGGGGCTCTTCGGTCTTGGCTGACAACTAGTCTAGGAGAAGGACAAAACTGAATTCAAACCCCGGTAAAGCATATACAAGGCAGCTGGCGAAAGGATCGTGTAGATCTGTCTATAATCTAAAGTGCAATTGATCTAATGCATGGAGGATTTACCTTTTTTTTTGATTTATTTCATCTTCATTTTTTATTTTTTTCCTAATCATCGTCTTTTTTTTTATCATTTTTTTTTTATTTGTGTTCTTAATTCTTTTATTGGTTTCGTGCATTTTCCATTCCTTCATTTAGTGCTACTATTAATACTGATACACTGAGAAAGAAATAAGACGAAAAAGAAGAAAAAATACGATGAAAGGAGAAGGAACGAAAAGGAGGAAAAGAGAAGACAAAAGAAAAGTTGATGAAAATGAAGTATGAAGAAAAAAGATGATGATGATGATGATGATGGCGATGGGAATAGTTAAGCAGAAATCAAGAAACGACGAAGAAGTAAAGAAGAAAACAGAAATTAAAGAAAAAGAAAAGAAAATGGACGAGGAAGAAAAGAAACGAAAAAAAGGGTTATAAATGATGATGATGGTGGTGGTGATGATGATGATGATGGTGGTGGTGGTGGTGGTGGTGGTGGTGGTGGTGGTGGTGGTGGTGGTGGTGGTGGTGACGGTGATGATGATGATGATGATGATGATGATGATGATGATGATGATGATGATGACGGTTGGGGGGTAATGGCGGTGTCAATGGAAAGAAAGAGATGACAGAAGAAGAAACGAAGAAAAGTTAAAGGCGCAAAAAGATGAAAGAGAAAAATAGACTTGCAAGAAGAAGAAAAAAAAACTAAAAAAAAGGAAGAGGAAGGTAAGCATGATGATAATGGTGATGTTAATAGGGTGGTGGTGGTGGTGCAAATAGAAAAAGATGAAAAGAAATGAAGAAATTGAGAGATGAATTAAGAAAAAAAGAAGAAGAGAGAATGGATAAAGAAAGGAAGAAAGCGGGGGATATAACGTGATGATGACGATGAACGAGAAAAATTTGAAAGAAACTATTCGATTAGTATAGACGAAAATGAGGTTGATGAAGAACAAACGACAGAGATGGAAGGACATGCAAGAAGATGAGAGAAGAGACTACTCGGAGGCGAATATGAAGGATGATGAGGCAGGCGAATGAATAACTGGAAAGAAGAAAAGAAGTTAAAAAAAGGCGAAGGCATAAAGATAAGGGAAAAGAAGAAAAAGGAGAATATAAAAAAGAAGAATACTTAAAAGAAGAAAAAGAAACTAAGATAAAAGAATAGTAAGAATTATGATGTTTAGAAGATGGTCGTAAAATGGAGGGAAAGATTAAATAGGATTAACGAAGAAGAAGAAAGAGAAAAAGCAGCTGACGATTAATATAAAGTAAGGACATAACTTTATGGTAATTATTGGCAGAAGATAAAAGAAGAAAAAGGAATATAAAGTATCAAAAAGAAAGTCAGAATGAAAGAAAAGAAGAAGTAGAAAAGAAGAAGGACGACAAATACAAACAAGAAGAAGAAGAAGAAGAAGAAGAAGAAGAAGAAGAAGAAATATAAATGGAGAAGGAGGAGGAGAATGGATATAAAGGTGATGATGATGATGATGATGATGATGATGATGTGCAAGAATTTTGAAGAAAAAGTACCAAAAATAATAATAGGAGGAGTAGGGAGAGGAGGAGGAAGAAGAAGAAGAAGAAGAAGAAGAAGAAGAAGAAGAAGAAGAAGAAGAAGAAGAAGAAGAATAAGAAGGACGACAAATACAAACATGAAGAAGAAGAATAAGAAGAAATATAAATGGAGGTGGAGGAGCAGAAGGGCTATAAAGGTGATGATGATGATGATGATGATGATGATGATGATGTGTAAGAATTTTGAAGAAAAAGAACGACAAATAATAATAGGAGGAGTAGGGAGAGAAGAAGAAGAAGAAGAAGAAGAAGAAGAAGAAGAAGAAGAAGAAGAAGAAGAAGAAGAAGAAGAAGAAGATAATGGAAAAGAAGAAAAAGAAGAACCAGAGAAAATGTGGTATGTAGAAATAAATGTAACTAGAAGAAAAGAAGGTGTGGGGAGGAAGAAGGATAATTTTAGCAGAAATGTAAGGAGAAAAGAAGAAAGTCATAAAATGAAATAAGAAAAGAGATACAAAGGGTAGAAAGAAGAAGAACTATAAATTGAAAGAAGAAGAAGAAGAAGAAATATAAATGGAGGAGGAGGAGGAGAAAGGCTATAAAGGTGATGATGATGATGATGATGATGATGATGATGATGATGATGTTGATGTGCTAGGATTTTGAAGAAGAAGAACGACAAATAATAATGAAGGAAGAAGAAATGAAGAAGAAGAAGAAGAAGAAGAAGAAGAAGAAGAAGAAGAAGAAGAAATATAAATGGAGTAGGAGGAGGAGAAGGGCTATAAAGATGATGATGATGATGATGATGATGATGATGATGATGATGATGATGATGATGATGATCTAGGATTTTGAAGAAGAACAACAACAAATAATAATAGGAGGATGAAGAAGAAGAAGAAATGAAGAAGAAGAAGAAGAAGAAGAAGAAGAAGATGAAGAAGAAGAAGAAGAAGAAGAAGAGGAAGAAGAAGAAGAAATACAAAACATGCCAAATCGCAAGGGTAAAAACTATTTTAAACGTTTATTTTTTTCAAATGTATTTTTTCGCTTGTTGTTTTGCAGAACAGTCTGGATATGCAATTTAAAAAATGTCTTCCGTTTCATGACAATCGTAGCTTCCGTCCTGATGAAAGCCCCCCTTTAGGACGATTGAGTTGAGTCAGCGTTATCTTTGAGGGCAAAATGAGTAAGCAACAGCCATTTAGTTGTAACCTCTGCGCGAGTTCGATCCTAAAAAAAAATTGGGGTCGGAGGTGGGTGGTTTGTAGCGTGTACAAAAAAACATGTTGACACGAGAGAAGACTAGAATATTGCTAGGGTCAATGAAGTAAAAGAAGACATTACGAAATAAAAATATCTTAAGAGTGAAAGAAATTAGCTAAAAAAAGACAGAATGTAAATAAAAATAAATACGATAGCAATAGAAAGAAAGAAAGAAAGAAAGAAAGAAAGAAAGAAAGAAAGAAAGAAAGAAAGAAATTAACAATAATTAAGAAAATAAACGCATAGAATAAAAATGATAGCAACAGAAAGAAAGAAAGAAAGAAAGAAAGAAAGAAAGAAAGAAAGAAAGAAAGAAAAAATAGCTGGAGAAATAATGAAAAAGAAAAGAACGAGGAACGCATGAAAACAGAGAGAATAAAAGAAGGAAAGAATAAAATTAAGAATAATAAAATGAACCTGAAGAATAAAAAACACTTTCAAAAAACAAAAAGAAAGAACCGTTGAAAGAAAGAAAAATGAGAATGAGAGAAATCAAAATGAATGAAAAACAACAGAAAGAAAGAATAAAAAACGTTAAAAAAGAAGTAATAAAGGAAAAAATGAATTATTCAAAACTTAAGACTCACAGGTGAATGAAATAAAGAAAGAAAGAACGAAAAAAGAAGAAAGAACGAAGGAATAAATAGAAATATAATATAATATATAATATATAAATAGAAAAAAGACAGGGAGAATAAAAAAGTTAACAAAAGAAAGAAAGAAAGAAAGAAAGAAAGAAAGAAAGAAAGAAAGAAAGAAAGAAAGGAAAATCATGTCATAAAGAAATAAATAAATAAAAAAAAAAAAGAAAGAAGAAAGAAAGAAAGAACCTTGTCACAAAGAAAGAAAGAAAGAAAGAAAGAAAGGAAAATCATGTCATAAAGAAAGAAAGAAAGAAAGAAAGAAAGAAAGAAAGAAAGAAAGAAAGAAAGAAAAAAAAAGAAAACCATGTATTAAAGAAAGAAAGAACCATGTCATAAAGAAAAAAGGAAAAGAAGAAAGAACCTTGTCATAAAGAAAGAAAGAAAGAAAGAAAGAAAGAAAGAAAGAAAGGAAAACCATGTCATAAAGAAAGAAAGAAAGAAAAAAGAAAACCATGTATTAAAGAAAGAAAGAACCATGTCATGAAGAAAGAAGGAAAGGAAGAAAGAACCTTGTCATAAAGAAAGAAAGAAAGGAAAATCATGTCATAAAGAAAGAAAGAAAAAAACATTTATTAAAGAAAGAAAGAACCATGTCATAAAGAAAGAAGGAAAGAAAGAAAGAAGTAAAGAAAGAAAGAACTATGTCATAAAGAAAGAAAGAAGTAATCGAAAAGAAAAGATTGCGGAAGGCATAAAAACAAAGAAAGAAAGAAAGAAAGAAAGAAAGAAAAAAAGAAAAAGTTTAAAAAAAATAAATGTAAAAGAATGATGAAACTGAAGGATTAAAACTTTAGAAAAACAGAAAGAACGATCAGCAAAAACAAAGAAAGGAAAATAAGAATGAGGAAAATCGAAAAAAAGTATAAAAAAAAAAAATCAACTATTCAAGAATTCGGACCAAAAAGAAAGAAAGAAAGAAAGAAAAAAAGAAAGAAAGAAATTGATAATAATAAAGGAAGAAAATATTAAAGGAATAAAGGAAAAGAAAAAAAGCTTTTGAAGCAGGATGCATTAAAGCAGAAAATGAAAGAAAGAAATTAACAATGATAAAAGGAAGATAAAAAGTGAATAATAAAGAATAGATCAAAATAGAAGGAATGAAAGAACGAGTTACATTAACCCATTACGGTCGTCGTGGCACAAAATGTACTGCAGCAATGCCAGCATTGGTGTATCTAGGGCTTGATAGCCACACGGAGCCCATCCTTCTCCAGCCTGGTTTTAAAGTCAGAATTTTTTTTTTTTTTTTTTTTTTTTAAGAGCGATTGGTACATCAAAGAAAAATAGCTGCATATGTGATTGATCTTGATCTGGCATCTCGTCTACGGTCATTTTCTCACAGACATGCTGTGGCTCATAAATGAGTGAGAAGACAATGATTCATGCTTTCCCATTCGAACACGTGCGAAAGTAAATGCAACGAACTTGGCTGGAATTCCGCAGTTGCGAATTATTCATTCCGTTTAGGTTAACACTACCTTCATACTCTTTAAAAGAATTATAATACACATTTAAAAACATCCATCAAATAAACAAAATAAACAACATTAAAACATCGAAAGACGTTGGATGTATCGACGTGTAGCATTGGTTAAAAAGCCTGTCTAATTAAGCTGAAGACCTTTTGCCAGACACTAGATGAACGGTGATTACATTGAGAGCGATCGAGAAGCATGGTTTAATCATGTAATCGAGTCGGATTGGGTGTCTGATGTTGTAGTGTGTTCGATTTTAAACGAATGTCCGCCACATTTGGTCTCAAGAAAAATTAATCAAGACGCGAAAAATCAATGCTTACAAAGAATAAAAGCATTTTGACGCTATACAGAGGACAATTTATCCTTACCATCAGCATGGCTGATGCTAACTATCCAGTGTAGCAACTCATTCCGGCTTCTTGATCTCATGAGCTCCATCTACCGAAAGGTAATTTGGTTCTTTGTGCCGCACCAGAAGTTTTTTTTTTACCCGCCTGAGCCCATTTTTCTAATGTACAAATCAACCATACGTCCTTGCATTGAATACTGTTGCCATATATGGTCTGGTGGCCGCAGTTTTTCCTCGTGAGGTTCTCGACAAAATCCAGAGATGGATATGCAATTTGATAGATCTTGATCTGGCATCTCGTCTACGGTCGTTTTCTCACAGACGTGCTGTGGCTCGTCTCTGACTTTTCTACTAATATTTTCATGAAAACTGCTCTGACTAGCTATTTTCATTGGTGCCCTAACTGCATGAGTTTAAGCGTGCTACTAGGTCGGCATCTCGGTTCCACCCGTTCGCTGTCGAAACGGTTAAATGTAGTCGTCTCTTTTACTCCAAAAGCTTCTTGTCTCGCACTTCCCAACAGTGAAACTCCCTTCCTCTTACTTGCTTCCCTGATAGTTATAATCGTCAAATATTCAAACGTAATGTCAATCGACATCCGATGCCTAGATCCTGATTCCCGTCCTTCTCTTTAGCCTTTCCTCAAACACCGCTCTTTACACTTGCTCTCACTTTCTGTAACCCTTTGTATATTAGTGACACTGCTGCCTTGTTTGGGGTGAAATGCTTAAAAAAAAACAAAAAAAATATGTCTCATTACGTTGAAGACTGGCATTAAGTGAAGTTACGCCACTGACATTAAGTGGAGTAAAAAAATTGCTAGTTCTACTCCGAGAAAAGTTAGCTCATTGTATCTGTCTATGTTTCTGAGATGAGGTATTATGTACACTACTTACATTATTCGGACTATTGTCCTCATCTTTGTCACCATATTTATTACAACGTTTCGGCCATTGTACGCTCCGTCTTTCTTCAAGGACACATCGCACAGTGGATAAAGGTGTCAGTTAGATCCAGTGACAGGACCCAAAGAGTGTGAGTTAAATACCCAGTTAAGGCAGTGGGGAACTTGGAAAGGGGAATTAATAGGAGATAACTGATAACTGACATCCGTTAAACGTGGTACATGGAACTAGAACAGTCTTCCCCCAGTGAGCGAAATAAAGCGTTCAGTTCGACATTCCAACCACCTGAAGAAGGCCGGAGCGTACAACGGCCGAAACATTGTAATAAATATGGCGACAAAGATGAGGACAATAGTCCGAATAATGTAAATAGTGTTAGTTCAATGTATCGTGCCAGAGAATTTTTCTCGCCAAAATCCAACACATTTATATATACTAATCAGGGAATTAAATACTGCTGTCATAGCTGGTCTGGTGCTTGATATATATATATATATATATATATATATATATATATATATATATATATATATATATATATATATATATATATCCACATTCTTGACAAAATCGAAAGAAAGATCTCTAATGTAATCGATACTGAATCTGGCATCTAGACTTGAGCCACTTTCTCGCCAACGTGACGAGGCTTTCTTCAGTCTTTTCTAGAAATATCTCCATGGCAATTGTTCAGATGAGCTTTTTTCCTTAGTCACTCCACTTCCTTAATTTAAGCGTGTTCCTAGATTGGCAATTACGTCTCGCCATTTTAGTATTGAACTCTCTAGATTCAACCGTATGTTCTATTCTAATAGTATCTTTTCTCCCTTCTTATTTCTTGCTTCCCTGCCAACTACAATCTTCAAAATTTGACTTCCTGCACACTGTTATGAAGAACTTCAAGAAAATAGCTAAATACAAGAACTTTAAAGTTGGAATCACCAAAATTTGACACATGACGACATAAATAATTCAAGTTATGGATCCTGGGTAGCTCATGACTTAAAGAAAGACAAAAAACAGTTCACACAAGTACAGCTATCAACTTACGAGAGTTTTATCTATGTAAAATATGTCTTTTTGATGTTGATTTAATTTACAAAAAAAAAACCCTTCAGTTTAATTTATCATGGAGCTTTTTTGACCCTAGGTTTTTCGTTTGGACCCGGAAAGAAATGAGTATACAATAGAAATCAAATGGTATTAAAATAAATACTACAGTGTAACCCGGATATAAGAGACCCGGATATAAAAGAAACCCGGATATAAGAGAGATTTTCTCTGGTCCCAAATTAGAGCCTGTGTTAATGTATATAAAATAGACCAAACCCGGATATAAGAGAAACCCGGATATAAGAGACTTCTTCTCCGGTCCCGACAACTCTCTTATATCCGGGTTACACTGTAATTATAAACTCGCTACAGCGTACTCCAATTTAAAGTCTTGATTTCGAATTCTTATATTAAAATTATGCATGTAAGCTGGCGCATCACAATCTTCATATTCGTTTTCCTCATTGTGATGACCTAAGACAGCTTTGTAAATATAAAGATGCGAAAAAGAATGAGTTAGTAAAAAAACAAAAAAAATAATACGAAAGTGAATGTCTGAAATGTTTAAAAAATAATTTGTGGCGTTATTTTGAACGTGAGAGAGAGAAAAAAAAGTGATGTTTCAAATCCCAACCAAACAGCGACAAAAATGTGTATTTAATAAAATTATCTTGTTCAAGTTATTATTAGAGTGTGTTATTCGATTCGAGCGGGCATCCTCACTCCTCGACAAGTGAAAACTTGTCGATAGCCCTCCCCCTTTTTACGTCCATGTTGAAAAATAAAAATAAAAAAAAGTTAAAATATTTCTCCCCCGACACACATCCTCTTGTTTTCATGAACGCCCTCCATCCAGACAAAGGAAGATGAAAGAAAGAAAGTAAGAACGAAAGAAAGAAAAAGAAGAAAATAATTAAAAAAAAGTAAAAGAAAAAGTAAAAGAAGACGAAAAAGAAAAAGAAGAAAATAAAGAAAAGACAAGAAAAATTGTGTAAATCGATAAAATTTATTTCAATGTATTTATTTTTCATAGATTATTTTTTCCGTTTAAGCTATTACTACTACTACTACTACTACTACTACTACTACTAGTAATAATAATAATAATAAATGGATAAAAGAACGGGGACTATGGGGGATAGTAAGGGACAGACATTGCTAAATGCTACAAAGGGTAGCGAGTGGTGAAGAGTAATGGTGGCTTATATCCCGATGGAACATAGTAAATAAAAGAATAATATTTTACCCCGGCTTCACTTTATTAGAGATTTATTATTATCATTATTATTTCCTTGGGTTTCTGTTGTAAAGACATTACCTTCCGGTTCCTAACCAGAGACCTAAGTTCGAAAATGACTTCATGTTATTTTCCACTGATAATTTTGGTAAGCAAAAAAAAAAAAAAAAAAAAGAAACAAAATCACACACAATTTACATAAAGCTCTACGCAATGTATGAGTTGTACCATTGAGTACAATATTTCGTATTTCTTTAATTTGTGCGCTACCAGGAATCCCTTCAATGAGTCTATAGAAAGCTTTTCCAATCAAACCGAGGGCTCCAACTACAATTGGAATTGTTGATATCTTCACATTTTTTTATAATACTTTGATAATTTTTGTCGGCATTCAAAGATACATTACAGTATATTATTATTATTATCATCATTATTATTATTATCATTATTATTATCATTATCATTAGTATTATTATCATTATCATTATTGTGATTATTACTATCGTTATTATCATTATTATTATTATTTAATCACTTATTCTACATGGAGGCCCTCAAACCTTTTGCCAAAGAACTCCCCAATGATGACATTGGTTCGGATTAGATAAATGCAAGGAAGTAACATTCAAGAAAGAAAGAATTACTGGAATACGCACAATAGATCTCGATTTTATCCCAAAGATTAGGGAACTGGAATAAGAAGAAGCCTATAAATATCTAGGAGTCAATGAAGGAGATGGAATACAGCATAATCAAATGAAGGAGAAAATAACAAAAGAATACTACAGGCGAAAACTTATGTAAATCGATTGAATTTGTTCAATGTCTTTATCGTAATGTCTCTAGTTTTCATACGTCATTTGTTTTTTTTTTCTTTTTTTGGTGTTAGCTATACTTGAGAAATATTTTTTTTTATTCCAGTTCAATTTCAAATATAAATTATAGGTTGCCAGAATAATTCCATAGTTAACACATCAATCATTATTAGCTAATAACAGTTCGAATCAAAATTTTATGAAAAACACTGCTATATAACTTTCATAGTGACTTTTTAAACAATTTTTCAGCTAGTACAAAACGGATTAGCCACTTAGGAATATCACGTGTAGTAAACAAGAGATAACCGCTCGGAATTGGAAATCGTAGAGCCATATTTCACAAGCCATCGTAACTTTTTAAGTCCCAGAAATTCCAACTGTCATTTTCTGGTTTTAAGTAAAAGTGTCTTTTTTTTTTTCTTTTCAATTTCCCGAAAACATTCTTGCTGTTTCCATTACCCGTTCATAATTTCCACAATATCTGTCTGTAGAATTCTATATTTATTGCTTTTTATCCTCCTCTATCTGTTAGAGGTGTGTTGAAACACCAGTTTTCGTACAATCGCTGAAGTTAACCAACGTCGAGCCTGGTCAGTACCTAGATGGGTAACCGCTTTGAAATATCAAGTGTTGCAAGCTTGGATGTGTGGGTGGTGTAATGGATAATGGCTCAGGATTGTTCATCGAAGAGCGGAGTTCTAATTCCCGTTGGGTTCGTTATATTCACTTACGCGCAAAAACCCGTGGGAAAGCTATGAATACACCTCTGTTGCAAAAATGGGTTGGAAGCCCACACAGAGGAAAAGAAAGGTAGTATGAGTGTAATAGGGTCACTAGGCAAAACAAATCCACACTTCTCGTCTCGATCTCCAATACACCACTCATCGTCCGAAACGAAAAGATGAACGTCAGTTAAATGAGCGTGCCATATTTTTATGCATCTGACCCAGCCAGCACTTAGCCAATGAGCGCCCAGAACCAGCCAATAAAAATGGCTACAAGCGACACCACCACCTCTATCAGCACGAAGTGCTGTCCGATTCACCGTCCGTCCGAAGCTCGTCGATTCACCGTCTCCACACCCTTGCAAAACATACAGGTGACTCTGGCTCTTTTGGGTCGCCGAGGTAAGTCACTGCTACGAGTTAACTAGTAAGACTTGTATCAGTAAATCATTACTATCTCCAAAACTTCTTACTATCTAAAAATACCTCCTAGCTTTAAATAACCTTCAAAAGGTTGACAAGCCGTAAAAAAACAATCAGTTAATCATCATAGAGGGTTATTGAAGTGGGTTGTTTTCTTGACGTAGCAGTTGTAGTTTATGGGGACATGTAGGACAGATGACGAATGACTCGAAACTTGGAGATGTTTTAGAAATCGAGGAAGCATCCTGTCGTGGGTCTGTTCTATAAAATGGTGGCCATTGGGAATAAGCTGTCCGGATTAAACTTACTAATGATGGAACTAGGGAATATTCGACAGAATATTTTCCATGGAAATTGTGATGTAATAGAAGAGTCTTGCTACATTAGGAAAGAAGTTCTAGAGCGGTAAATAATTAATCGCCTACAAAGCCTCATAGACATTTTAGAAATCTGTCAATTCCGAAGAGAGACGATTAAAGAACTCCAGCAATATGGCAGCAAAACTCGATTTTTGGTCAGATATGCCTCTTGGAAATGGCGATACTGAAATCCGCAGAAGAATTTGGAATCTTTCAGGAGAAAATACTTTCAAAACTTAATAATAACATTATTAGTATAGCTCGCCACTTGTATTCGAGAATACCCATCTATTAGCCAATCCCTATTACAGACGCTTGCTCAGGCGCATTCGTGTTTGCTCAACACCCACAGGGCCCACTTCTGGTTTATACTGCAACTATGCTGACCAGACCTTAGTCATAGTTTCTGGGAAAGAACGTGAACAAAAGCAACAGACACAAGCCCTTGGGCACGAGGGATTGTGACTTCGTGTTAGCACAGCGAACGATGCTCCCAGCCCAAAGGGCTCCGTCAACAAATTTCACTCACAAGGATTGGTTCAAACCGTGATATACTTTTCAAGTACTTCCTAAAAGTGCCACACGCTGGGATTGGCCCCCTCCAGTCCGATAACATCAGGCTGTCTCCTTCCATAGCAAATAGACCATGGTGATATTCGAACCCGGCTCTCACGGCCCGAATGCGGTCACGTGTCTATTAATGACATTATTACCAACTATAAAAACACATCTAAAACATTACATTAAATCGCCATCCACCTTTGAATCCATTCTTAAAGAATAAAATGTATATCTAGCTAATACAATGAGTATGTATTTGAAAACAGCCACAGATTTTAGAATACCACTCCACAACGACGACTGACCACACAAAATTGAAAACATTAGAACTCCCCTTACTAGACATACACATATACACAATTACGAATACACATTGCCAACCGATTCCCACTTATTATTAATGTTTACAATCTTACATATAAAATTATCTACGATTATAATACACGTGATACATGACTGACTAATGAGTATCAAACCACACAAAATTGAAAATAGCAAAGATCTGTCATTTTATCTGTTTTCTATCGACCGCTGACAAAGCTTTAATAAAAGTTAAACATATGCGATTGATAAGTCATTCAGTTATGTGCCATGCGTGATACACGCTTAGGTGATCATGTATCTTTCGATACATGACTGACGAGGAAGGTTTTATTCCTGCAGTAGCTTGCCATTTCCTTCTGCGGTATACCAGTTATCATCCAAGGCTATAGAATCCGGTCTGTTTTGTTATTTACCCATTTTGCAGGGAGAAGAATAGGATTCATACGTTTCCCAAGGGTATTAGCACGTAAGTGAATGTAATGGATTCGACTGGAATTCGAACTCGGCTCTCCGATTTCTCCATCCTAGCCGCTATCCATTACTCCACCGTGCTTTCCATTTTTTCTTTATCTTATCATCCTATCGGATTCCGATCTATATTTGATTTGTATTTGATCTTTAACTAATAGCCAACGATGCATTCCAAAAGCTGACTATTAAGAGTCAGAAAAACTTCGTTAAAAACAAAAAATATCGTGATATCTGTTCTTCTATATGGCAGCGAATGCTGGACAATCTCCACGAAGATAAAGAGACTTGGATCAACAGAAATGTGGTTCTACAGAAGGATGCTAAGGATACGTAAAATATGAGTAAACGAAGAATTTTGAAGAGAATTAAGACAAAAAAGGAAGTTTATGTATAACATCAGGAAGAGGCAGGTCAAATTTCGTTAAGAGGAAGGAGGGTTTTGAAAATCTGATACTCACAAGAGAGATTGAGAGCAACATGGACAGAGGAAAACAAAGGAGAACATACTTGATGAGCTTGAGTAAATGGATGGCGGGACTGAATTTAGGAGAATTAACGAAAAGACAAAATTTATTAAGCAGTACAAAGGACAGGAAATTGTGGAGAGCCGTGACCACCTACGTCCTGATGCAACACGGTATATAAAGAAAAAGTTGATTTCTCTTTCTCTCGCCTTCCCTCTTTATCTGTGTGTGTGTGCGTGAGAGAGAGAGAAAGAGCGAGAGAGTCTGTGTTCTGTACGGTATACAATATTCGTTTATTTTCATAGAAACAAATGACCGGTATGTTGTGCTCAAAAATATGGATAGTCGATTTATCGGTAATTTTAAATGGTTGAATCCTTTCCAGTAAAATTTTTCTACTTCAAGCCTTATACCATATAAAACTAAATACGATTAAACTGCACTCGTTCAAATCAGGTTTTATTATTTTTTTACGCAATGTCGTTTGATACTCTCGCTAATAATTAAGAAATAAAGATCGCCATTTTAGAAATGAATTCCCGCTATTTGCTTGGCGAACGACGATGCCTTTTTCGAAACAACAGTCTCGCTAATCGAGTTTCTGTTGAGTGCAAACAAATAAAGCGAGAATAACTTCATTCTTCCGGTTCGCCATCGCTAATGCAGTTCAGCAAATTAAGGCTCTTAATTTGGTCTAAAGTTGTCAGCTCAACGCGACGTATTTTCATAATAATGTCGTTTTCTAAAGGCATATTGTTCGCTTAATTCTCATTCGTGTTTATTGTAGCGTTGTAGCCTATATTTACACAGAGGAATTGGATTTAACTATAGAACATAAAGAAAATAAAATCACTGGTAATAGTAAATCATTTAATTAAGTAGTACAAAAGCAGACGCGATAGGACAGGAATAATGATTTAATGGAAACAGTGCAAATATATATGATGTAAGATATATATATATATATATATATATATATATATATATATATATATATATATATATATATATATATATATACTCCCCTTAGAAAGACTAAAATGGAAAAACATATGAACGGAGTGCGCGCACCATGCCAATCAATGCTACCTGAAGGTGGGGGAAACAACCATTCAGCCAAGATCAAAATAAAGCCGTATATACACAATTAAACCCCCTTCCCTCTAAAACCGGTCGAAACCCGGATTGAGAGGTTAGTTGGCATTTTAACATTTTCTTAAATATCTTAGCTCTACATATTCGATCTTGAATTTTGTTAATACCTTTAAGGCGTGGCTCTTTTCAGACTTTTTTTTACATTTTTATTCTTATATATATATATATATATATATATATATATATATATATACTAGCAGCATGGCCCGGCGTTTCCCGTGCTTGATTAAAAAATCGTACGACTCATGCAGCAATCGCTATCACTTGACTTAAAAATATTTTTGCCCTTCCTTGCCTTTAAAGGAGTGTCCTTTGTCGTGCTGATGTTGCTACATGCCTTACTTCTTGCCTATCTCATACTGCGAATTTTTTCGAAGCTCTACACTGAACATTAAATCTGTTACGAAAAAAGAACTAAACAAAATGAACACAAAACGATCAGCTTTAAAAAAGGACTCGTCACTGGAAAAACCGAATGAAATAAAGAATGTTAACAACAAATACTTTTTCACAACCAACCCAGTTCTGCGAAATCAGAATCAACGTTGAGTTTAAGCAAGCGAATGAGCCAATTGGAGTAAAGTGCCATGCAGATTTAAATTTTTCCCACTTCTGACGAATGCAGATATCGATTTTTTTAGTTAACATTCGTGACAGTCAGCTGTTGGCTCTCACGCTGGCCAATAGAATCTTCCTGCCTATTCGTGGCAGCCAGCTATAGGCTCTCACTCTGGCCAGAAGAAAATTGCTGCAAACTACATGAAAAATGCCGTAGAAGCATGAAAAAATCGATTATTTCCAATATCGATGGGAGTTGGGAAATGCAAAGTCGGTCTTCCCTCCAATTTGGAGCATGTGCATGTAAATTTTGGTGCAAATCCGTCGAAAATTGCAGCCGTGCATTCGTTACACACACACACACACATCCTGCCTTTTAAAATATATATATATATATATATATATATATGTGTGTGTGTGTGTGTGTGTGTGTGTGTGTGTGTGTGTGTGTGTGTGCCTGTGCTGATGGCTTCGCAAGCTTCAGGTTTATGGAATTTCAGGTCGATTGTTTGACTTAATACAATCATTCCTGTCAAACCGTGTATTGAAGGTCATTCTCAACGGATTCTCCTCCATCTCCAATCCCTCGAACTTAGGTGTCCCCCAGGGCACTATCCTAGGCTCTTCTCTGTTCCTTATCTTCATTAACGATCTTCCTGATGTCATAGGTTCCCAAGTAGTCGTCTATGCGGACGACACTACTATTTACTCCTGCCTCAAAAACAAATCTAGTGTCACCGACAAAACTAACCTGGCCGTTTTCTCTCGAAAAGGACCTCCAATCGGTTGTGGACTGGGGCAGGTATTGGCTGGTTAACTTTAATGTCTCAAAAAGAAAACTGTTCTCTATTACTCACAACAGAGAACCATCCCTGCCTCCCATTAGAATGTCTGACGCCCAACTCCACGAGAGCACCTCTTTGTGAATGCCACGCCAGATAATTTTTTCTCGCCGGAGTCAATCCTTCAAATCTACATATCTACCATTCACCCTTGTATGGAGTATTGCTGCCATATATGATCTGGAGACGGATATGCAATGTAATTGGCACTGATCTGGCATCTTGTCTGCAGTCGCTCTCTCACAGACATGCCGTCGCCTCCCTCTGTCTTTTTTTACAAATACTTTCAAGATAACTGCTTCGATGAGCTGCTTCCGCTGGTTCCCAGACTTCATGAATTTAAGCATTCAGCTCAGGTGGTATTTCGCTCTCACCCTTTCACTGTCGAAACTGTTAAATGTAGCCGTCTCTTCTACTTCAGTAGCTTCATGTCTCGCACTTCTCGCCTGTGGAATCCCCCCTTTTCTTGCTTAACTGATAGCTATAATCTCCAACTATTCAAATTTAATGTCAATCGACGTCTCCAGATGTCTTGATCTATCCCCTAACCTTCTCTTCATCCTTTCCTCTATCACTCCTATTTTTTCTTGCTCCAACTCTCTGTAACCCCTTGCGTGCTAGTGGCTACCTGCCTTGCTTGTCGTAAAACGCTTAAATATATAGATATATGTATTCTTTTTTAATCATTTCGTCCCAAGAAGGCATTCATGCCACTAAGACGCCAGTGTTCCTGTGAGTCAAAGAAAATGTGAAGAATTTAAGAGAACATAGTTCAGGTGACAGAAGTTGAGGATTGGCGATTTATTTCATTTTTTTTTTAAAGATCGTTAGCTACTTGGAAGGAAGAAACCGGGAGACAGTTCTACAGACGAGAAGTGCGAATAACGAAACTTAAAACAGAACTTGCGATTTCAAAAGTGAAACAATGAGACCTAACTGCCAATCTAGTAGTACACACAGAGAATTACATAGGTAGTCCGAAGCAAAAGGAAAAGAAGGTGACAGATCGTGAATGTCACTGTTGAGGTAGACCAGAGAATAAATCTGCTAAAAAGTGAAACGATGGATAAGTATATTGAAGAACTCTCTCAATATTACGAAACATGAATTAGCGAGCTCTTGCGAGGGTTAACTGAGCCGGAGGAAGGGCAACAAAAAAAAACTTAAAGAAAAAACTTCATATTTCTCATTAGAATTTGTATGTTACCAGTAGCCATCTTTTCACCTCCGCTGTTATATTTTTAGTTTCATCTGCAAAAATTTGCAAAGTTCCTTGGAACACTTGTAACCGGCCCGCAAACAATGTACCCAAATATATCTTCCATTTCTTATTATTACTATTATTCACCTAATACAAGCCCCGAGAGCAACTCAAGCTAGATGACTAGTGAATGAGGTCGGTATCTGTGTTTATAATGAGGATCTATATGATAGATAACAGTTTACACTAGACTTAAAAGGGTTAAGTTTACATTGATCGAGGGAGGGGAGAATCCCCAAGGGAATCTGTTCATCAATGTCACAATTCTGGGGAAGACATTTTTGGAGTGTCATTTTATTTTATTTTACTTTTATCAATGTATTATCATAGCGAATGCAATGGCGGACCTTACTTGTAAATTTCTGAACTCGTAGAACTTAGCAATGTATCTTGTTAAAACATTATCCCATAAATTAATTTGATTCGACACTAACCTTTTCTCTGCCAGTGATGCTTATTGTAGCATATAATTTGTAAACAACTTGTTGATAGCCAGCTGTAACCAAATGTGATTAAAACTTCAGTAAATCCCTGCTGGCGTCAGTGTCACTTCAGCAACTCAAAATAGCAAAGAATAAATAAAATGATAAAATTAAACCAAAAGAGTTACTAAATACATTACATTCCAATGGAATATGACGAAAATAAAGATGATTCGACCATTTTTAAATAGCATCGCGAGTCCTGGTTATGAAGGTCATACTGTTAAGACATTTTTTTTTATGTTTATACATTCTTTTTATAGATACAAATATTTAAGTATATAAATTTAATAATAAACAATATTAACGACATTTACAGGCCTGAATGCCCTAGAAATTTTTATAGAAAATATCCGTCCTCCGACAGGAATCTCACCTGTATCCTATACGGAACCTTCATATAGCCTGACGTGCTTTTACCTATTGAGCCACAGAGGAACGTTTCGGTTAGCAAGGTCGATTTTACTGTTTTTAAATTACAATTCTCCATAATTTTCTCTCGTACATTCATATCTGCTCTATGTCTATCTAAATGTAAACAAATGATGTCACACATTATGAAATGGACAAATTCCTACAATTATTTTAAGACATTTTATATATATATACGTTCTTTTTATTTATTTTTTTGTCCATTTCATGTGTGACGTTGCCGAGGCCGAGTATATAAGATGATTCATTTCTGTCAGGTTCACTGGTCTTTCCATTTCGTCCCTTATTTTTCTAATTGCTTGTTAAGCGAGGTTGATGGTTTCCATCACTTGACGGTTCTTTCTTACTTTTGGAATTATTGGTCTTTCCTCGAATGACATTACCTTTACATTCTGACATTTACATAGGATATTTTTTGTCATCTCTGTGTATCTGACATATTCGTTTATTATCTTCCTCTGTTTGCTTGAGTACCTCAGAGGGATTATTACAACTGGTTTCGTTTTATTTTTCTGCATGTGGCTCCTCTGGGTTGTTGGCATTTAACCCGTTGACATTTAATCTATATTTTTGATGATTTTCGTAGGATTTCGTGTTCTATGCCAGTTATTCTTTTCCCTAATGATGACACACCTAACATTAGCTAGTTTGCTGGCATCGATCTTTAGCCTTTTGAGGGATGTTTTTATCGCCAGATATTATAGGCTGCTTTGGGTGTTGCTGTCGTTATCGGATTTATCATAGCAGTGTAAAATGCTATCAATAATTCAATTTACTCTTCCCTAGACCATTTACTTCTTGTTCTTTTTGCGCGATTTTCTTTTAACGAATATAGAAGGTCTTTTTGAAGTTCTTATTAGCAGAATTTTCGATCCCTGTCTGGATCCTTACTGGGGATCGCGGTCCTTTTTGATCCGCGTGAATGCTGATGCGATTTAGCAACAATTTTCCTTGTGTCGGCATTAGAATTAGTATAATTACACATACGTGGGGAATGGTTCATGGGTGCCAGGGTATATCCATACCCTGTTGGGCCATCACGTTCATGGGGTCAGGGCTCACTCTCTTTTTTTTTCTTATTTTTTTTTACTATTTCTATTATTAACATGAACGTTGAATTATTCATTTATAAGCGTTTGGATCACAAGGAGACAAGACGTGCTTCATCAGAAGAAATTCAATTTTTAATGACATTTTCTTTGACTTTTTTCTCTGTTATGTTCAATAATATGAAACTATATTCAAATCTCCCTGTTATTGCACGAGTATATTTTACCTATAAATATAATTAATATATTTATAGGTAAAAATATTAATATATATATATATATATATATATATATATATATATATATATATATAATAGACAAAACCACTGAGAGATTGTATAAGAAATATTCCAGAAAGAGTTACTCAAAATAACGATGTAAATATCCCCTGGGGCATGACAGTTCAATCTGACAAGGAAATAAAAGCCAACAGATCTGATACTAACATAAAAGCAATTTAGGAAGCGTATGCTTCTTGACATAGCAGTACCATCTGTGAGAAACAACTCTATGTAAGTTATCGAGAAATTGTCCAAATACAAGGACCTGGAAATCGAGATTGACAGGATTTGGGGAATCAAACAATTTATTGAAATAAAGCAAGTTCAGTTGACCATTGATGACAATTCCAGAAACTATAAACAATTTTTTTTGCTACCCTGTGCAAGCCACAATGATGGACAAAGCATTACCTAGAACATTCGCCAGTGAGACACACAGCAAGAGCCACTCCGTTTCGCAAGGCTCGTCCCTTAATCGAGACGCAATCGCGCCAATCCTCCGAAGGAACGCCATCAAACGAGGGCCAATAACCCCTGAAGTCTCCACTGCCACAGGAGGAAAAAAATCTATCAGCAAGAGAAGAATATTTAACTATTTTTTTCATCTCTGCGTTCCGGGCGATGGACTCCGACTCAACCGCGGACCTGATCAAATTACCGGTCGAAAATGTATCCGCACAGGTCGCATCCCAAATCAACGACTTCCCTATTTTAAAAGGAAAAATGGTAATGCCATCCGGCCGCTTTCCATCACCGCGGTCGAGGCCTACGGGAACGAAGACTGAGACTGTACCAATAGTAATCGGAGTGCTGGGCCTCGTGAGAAAAGGAATGGACAATTTTGCTAACAGTGTCCCAAGTAACATCAACATACAAGTTGCCCAGAAGATCGCCCTACACATATTCTAAGTGAAGTGCTATCAATCAAATGGCATTTTTCCTATAAGGCCTAAGGACCATTGTTTGGACCTGGCTCTACAGGATACAAAGCAGGAAACATAACATACACACAGGAAGAGACACTTCGACGTGTAATGGTTAGCAAGCTTGGCTCGCTCGATTAATTATAAGTGAATAGTGAGTTCGATCCTCACTGGTTACCGCATATTTTAATGTTAATTATTTTGAATAACAATATTTAATCTGCATCATGTATTGATGGGGAGTATAAGAAGAAGAAGAAAAAAAAAGAAAGAGAGCAAAAAAGGAAAGGGAAAATGATTACAAAGAAACAAAGGAAAAAAAAACAAGGTAAATTTACATAATACTAACTCTATCAACAGAAAGAAAAAAACGGACAAAAAAGAAAGAAAGAAAAAATGGACAAAAAAAGAAAGGAAAAACGATAAAATACAGAATGATCAATTATGTAAAATAACGCGAGAAAAAATAAAAGACAAATGAAAGAAAAACGGAAAGGGCAAAACAATACGAATAAAGATTTTTACCTCGGAACACACCAACTAGCGAACACCCGACCGGGAGAGACGGCCAAAAGAAGAAAGAAAAGAGAAAGAAGAAAGAGAAGACAACATTATTATGATTGCTTTCGTCAATCAAAAGACCTACCCAGAGGAGAGGGGGGTACAACAAAAGAAAGAAAGAAAGAAAGAAAGAAAGAAAGAAAGAAAGAAAGAAAGAAATAAAGAAAATCAAGGGAATGCTATATCCTCGGAAGTAAGCAAGGAAGGGGGAAGGAAGGAAAGAAGGAAGAAAAAAGAAGTAAGGAAGGAAGAAAAGAAGGAAGGAATGGAGAAAGGAAGAAAAGCAGGAAGAAAGGAAAGAACGAAGAAAGGAAAGAAAGAAAGGAAGAAAAGAAGGAAGGAGGGAAGGAAACGTGAGAAAAGAAAAACTACTAAAAATTATAAAATTGTAAATTTGCGGAAAGTGCAAATAAGGTAAAAAAAAACCAATAAAAAGAAAGCAGAAAAAAATGAACTCAAAGAACGAACTGATGCAGGAATGAGTTCAATAATAAGGAATATTTAATGAAGGAATAATGAATGAGAATCAAGGAGAAACAGCTAACCGTGCGTTAAAATAGTAAAGACAAGAAGCCCATTGAAAGAGGATACTGAACAGAGAAATTTAAAAGAAAAATAATTTAAAATAGAAAACAGGAAATAAAAAACGTCAGAAAAATGTAAAAAAATAAAAAAATAAACGTCACGTTAATTCGGTTTTTCACTCAAATCCAAATAATCATTCTATTGTTTTAAAATGAACATTTTCTACTTGTTTGTCGTAGGATTTTATTTTTCTTCTAACAGATCGATCGAAAAGAGTTGCCCAAGGTTTTCTCCGCTATTGTCAATGGAATCTGTTCGTCTGCAGATGCTTCCAAAATGGTTTAGCCAATCAACGCGGCTTCTCAAAATGTGGACAAATTGATTGGTTCTCGATAACTGGACGTGAAAGTTTGGTCTTTTGTTTTCTTGTCTTCACCGAGAACTTGTTTAATTAGCTTTTACTTTAGTTTCGAGGCGCAACACGCGGCAAAACTAAAGCAAAAAATAGAATTTGTAAGAAAAAAAAAAGGTGAAATAGAAAAAAATAACACGTTCTCATAACCGTGAACGCATTTAAAGTGTGAAATTGTCGATAGCAATAAACGCAGACTTACGGAGAGAGGACATTGAATGAAAATGTCGCCTGAGAAAATGGAACGTACGCTCTTACAAATAGATGCGTTCTTGACAGGTCGATTTTAGAACCGCAGTTTTGCACTCAATTTTAAAATTGGGGTCTGACATGATAAATAAAGCTACATTTTTTTTCCAAGTCCTTAACGTTTTTTGAAGAAAGATTACGTTCAAAGAAAAGTTTACGTTCAAAATCGTAGGCTTGGAATTTCATTGCGGTCATCAGAGAAAGCCTTATAGAACAGCCTATAAGTCTAGCGGGAATCTTTTCCAGCTGTGCTGATCAAACTCGCTTCCTCCGAGCAGAGATGATCCCCAGACGAGGCTATGACGAAGGGGAGAGTCTCGTCTCGGGAAACAGCTACACGACCCCGTTTTACACGGGATCTAAGCAGGATTTTTGGCTGAGCCTACGGGGTCGGATACCCCAGATTAAATTCGGCCTTGTGCCATATCTGATCGCGTAGGGAGGTTAGTAAATACACTAGGACAGCCTATAAACATTATAATTTTCTGAAGCTGCACAAATATACAAAACTCATGGCACACGTACATTGTTACTAAATCATTGTGCTATCAAAGACCTTCATTTTCTTCAAAGGGAAATTGTACTGAATAATTTAGATATATTCAGTCAGTTATGTGCCATGCGTGATACACGCTTAGGCGATCATGTATCTTTCGATACATGAATGACGAGGCAGATTTTTTTTTCCCGTGGTAATTTGCCATTTGTTTCTGCGGTAGATCAGTTGCCATCCAAGGCTATAGAAGACGGTCTGTCCTATATTTACCCATAGCTGGAGGAAGAAGAGGATTCACATTTTTCCCAAGGGTATTAGCACGACTGGAATTCGAACTCGGCTCTCCGATTCCTCAATCTAAGCCGCTATCCATTACTCCATACGTTATGGAGTAATATGTTATTTATTGCAGTAGTTTTAGTATGATTTTCAATAAACAATGAAAATCTAAAACATTTCTCTTATAATTTGTCGTCCAGCAGTATTATGGTGTTATTAGGTTGGTGCAAATATAATGACGTAATAATGTCGTTTTTGATGTATTTTTAACGTCAAAAATCGACATTATTACGTCATTGTTTTTGCACCAACCTAATATATACATTTTTTATCTATTTTTATTTTTATTATCATCTAACAAATATAGTAAAAAAAAAAAAACTAAATATTTTACTTGTGGTGATTCCTAATTAAAATTCTGATTTGTATATATTTTTACATTGAATGTATCTAATACGAAAGATATCAACTTGATTTTGAGTTATTCTTGAAATAGTAAAATTTTGAAGTCAGTTTTTAAGCAAATAACTTCAGAAATTAAATATGTCTGTACATTTTTTCAAACGCTAAAAAGTAAATGCTCAAAAACTGATAAAACTATGAATCTAATTTTTGGTTGCGCTACTTATCACATCAAATCGCAGCTTTCCCAGTGAGTGCAATGTTGATTTTCTTAAAAAGTATCAAATCAACTTGGTGTCTATATGTATAATAAACGATTAGCGCTTACAATGAAACAAAATGGCTTAAAATATTGAAAAATAAACAAAAAATCCTTAATTTCTGTCTGAATGCTTGTGATGCGTTGTTATCATTGTTTACAGTATTTATATTCGGGCTATTGTCCTAATGAATTTAGATTTCGAGTTTCAAGTTCACTATAACGAATTGTCTTATGGGGTAAAAGGATTAAAGTGTTGGTTTGTGAATTTGGTGATATAGTAATTGTGAGTTCAATCGCTGGGCTGTATGTACTTGGACTCGTTCAGAACAGGGTGAGCAATAACTGAGGAAGCACATACTGTGCTGTTACGGAAAGTACTTGCATAAATAAAGATGAAAAAAGAAAAGAAAACTACGGCGCCTTTCTTAATGAATTTAACATCAATATCGCGAGTTCAAATCCTGCTGAATGGCATATAATATTTTTAATAAGATTTCTCGAATATTCAGACCGGTAGACGAAAATAAATATATTGTTTTAAATAAAGGTAGCATCTACTCAAACATGGGTATCCATTAAATATAAGGTTTAGGTTCCTACAAATCTGTGGGTTGATAAAAAAAATTGCTACTTTATAAATATATCGTCATCCACACACACTGTTTCGCTGTATCACAGTGTCTCTTTTTTGTATATATATATATATATATATATATATATATATATATATATATATATATATATATAATCTGCTTGTCTGAATCATCTTCAAGAAGCGAGAGCAAGATCTAAAAGGTCAGCCAAACTAACAGTGATCTCATCTCACAATTCTCATACCTGCTCCATATGTGACTAGCGGGACTTAAATGCCACTATTATCGCATAAACTTTCATAACTGAATCAATAAGCCGGCAGATTCTCATACGTCGAAACTGACGGGGGAGAGTCCATTATACATATATATATATATATATATATATATATATATATATATATGTGTGTGTGTGTGTGTGTGTGTCTTTAGGCAACACGTTTTGTGAAAGACGACTGACAAGGTACTGCGGTTCAGCTTTTATTTCATTTTACTTCTGTCCGTACAAGTATTTTATTTGCTGGACACAAAGTGTATGTAAAACTGGACAAAAGTTCTGCATTTCCGCGGGATTTGGTCTATACATTTAATCATTATCAAGGATGATTTTATTTTACTTTTAACTGAATGTATGTGTTGTGTTAGGTATGTATCTAGAGTTATAGGGCTGTTTTTTTTTTTGTCAAACACGGTCAGCATATGGTGGCCATGTTCATAAATAATATTATTAAGTGTGGGATTTTTTTTAAAAATTATTATTGCTTCTATTATTTCTTATATATTTTCTTTTACATGCCGATGAGATTATTATGCATGTATTTTCTACTTGCATGTTTCGGATAGAGTCTGGTAGGTTTTTATGTGTGTTTAAATGAGTTCTAAAGGAGCTGTGAGCGGATAATTGTAACGTAAGGCGTCTGGATAGTCGTGTGGTAGTGTGACCGAAGTAATTATGTATGAGTTTGGTTTGATTAGGAACACCGTTCCTTTAGGTTCATTTGAACTCGTAAATAATGTTGGAGTTTTGATTTTGCAGGTATGTTGTTATTTTTTATGATACGGTTAGCTGTTTTACATTTTTTGTAATAGATAATTTAATTTTCTTGTTCGGATTAACAGAGGTAATGTAATTCTTTATGATATTTCTAAGGAAAGATTCGTCTTGCTTACAGTTCACGTGTATTTGTTGTTGTTTTTTTTAGATGTTAATGTTATTGTCTGTGTGTGTGTGTTCAGTATCGTTATTAGATACTTTGGAAAGAAATAGTCTAATCTTAGGAAAACCATTGTTAACTAGTCTCTGTTTTGAGAACCACGAACAGAACGAGATACAAAAAAGTACCTTAACCGAATATGAATATAAGAAAGCACAGCAATAACCTTATCATTAAACACACAGACACATAATTACAAAAAGGCGATGTAAATTATGCCACAGAAAAATTCTAGTACCCAATGGCAGTTATAAATATATAAAACTGTCTAGTCGTAATTTAACAGATGACCAAAAGAGTTTTAAATTTGGGGCCAAATTGCCATCTCCAAACTAAATTTGTCCTTCTCACACAGAAGACCGAAACTGAAATTCTACACTAATTACTATCACATCTTGAGATATATATATATATATATATATATATATATATATATATATACTATAGCCCCAAATCTGGGCTTACACTCTGATATAATAATTACTAAGTTACATGCCCTCTTCGGTTTCATTAAAATTCCTAGGAAGCTGAGATGCTGAAACCATTTAACCAATTAGCGCATGCTTTCATCTATTTTTCAGAAAGAGGCGTGCCTAGATTTTAAAATCCGCCATCTTAAATATTACTATTAACCAGTATGTTAGATTAAGTAAAAGAAATTAAGATTTTAAGGAAAATTTATGCAATAATGAGTTAATTACTTTATTATTATTATTATTATTATTATTATTATTATTATTATTATTATTGAATCGATAATAAAAGCCTTCATAAAGAGTAAATTCCTTTTGAAAATGGTACAAAATCCGTTATAGGTGATACTTCGAAACGCCGTGTTTTTGGCCTATGGTGCATATTTATATACGTATGTATTTGTTTATATTGTTTTATGAATGCAAATGTCCGTTTTTGTGTATATATATAAGTGAACATAGAACTCAACACTCAGAGGTTTCATGCTAGATGTAATCATCAGGCGGCCTGACGATTGCGTCTAGCAGGAAACAGCCTGTCGCCTCTGATAACTATTACATCTATATTTACATACGCTCTATCTATGATATTGGGCACTTCATCCCATAAATATAGCACATCTTAAAAGTATATTTGTTCATATATGTGTGTGTGTGTGTGTGTGTGTGTGAGTGATAAAGATATACTCTATGATTTACTATGTTTCTGGGTTAAAATGCTCGATATCATAGGTAGAATATATATATATATATATATATATATATATATATATATATATATATGTATGTATGTACATATATGCATGTATAAATTACATATATGTATATATAACTTTATATTAATATTTATTAATTAAATGTATGTATCAATTAAATGAATGTATATATGCATAAAAGTGGACATTGAAGACAACACCCTGCAGCGACACACTGTTTTATACCTAAACGCAATTTTCCTGCCTTTATATATATATATATATATATATATATATATATATATATATATATATATATATATATATATAGTACAGGTAATCAATCTGTTGGTATATAATACGGATGGAGCCGAGTAATATTAATTATTTAAACTGGTCCCTAGGGAGATCGATGTATTTATTAAACAAGTGCATATGTATTTTTAACAGCAAAAAAACAAAAATTACCTCATCATGGGAATAGTCTATTTCCAGCTGGTCTGTACGCCGCTATCATCAGTCTCTAAGTGTCTGACACTGATATATTTAGGGTCTGCTGAAACAGACCAGCTTGAAATAAACTATCCCCATGTTGAAGTAATTTTGTTTTTATATATATATATATATATATATATATATATATATATATATATATATCCTACCTTATTCTTAAGTATCTTAATGAAAATAGATTTAAAATTATTCCTTTCTCTCCCTTCCCTCTCTAATTTCGACTTTATCTCCCCTTCTCTCTTTATCACCTTACATCAACTTAAAACTATCCCTCAAAAGTGTATAAGAACTATATGTAAATTTACAACTTTTTTTTTCATTCGTGGAAATGTAGTCTGATGAACCAGGTAAAAACTACGTACCTGGTGAAATAAATTATAACCAATGAACCGTTAATGTTGTCGGTTTTCTATTTAAATTGAATATATATATATATATATATATATATATATATATATATATATATATATAGTCTTAATGTGTGTTATATTTATGGGATAAAGTGCTCAATATCTATGATAGAGCGTGTGTAAATATAAGTGAACATTGAAGTCGACACTGTTTCATGCTGGACGCAATCGTCAGGCCACACACACACACACACGCACTCGCACACACACACACACACACACATATATATATATATATATATATATATTCTTTTTTTTTCTTTTATCACAGTTTCTTTCTTTGTTCTCATCTTTATCCTCTTTTTTCGCTAGATTGCTATTCAACAATATCTCGTTCATTTCTGTTATTAATTTAGCTCTGTCTTGTTGCTGCTTCGTCTCTCTCTCTCTCTCTCTTTATGCATCTCTCTCTTTATCTCTCTCTCTTCTCTCCCTCTCTCTCTCTCTCTCTCTCTCTCTCTCTCTCTCTCTCTCTCGACATAATTCATATTTCAGCCTTTCATTTTTACCCTCCTCTTTCTTAGTCTCTCTATCTTTTGATTTCTCTCCGTCTTTCATCGCTACTTTAAATACATTTTTCAACATTGTTCATGCCTCTTTAAAATTCTCACCACCATTCTTCTCTCTCTATATCCTCTCCCCTGTGTCCCACGTTCTCCTAAATCGTCTTCTCCATTCAGCATCCTAAAAAAAAAATCATAGCACTCAGCCCGTTTTAAAGCACATTGTTCATATGAATGTGTTAATTTCTTCGAATTTAAAAACATTTCCTTTTTGTCCATATTTTTTTTAAAATGAATCTTCGCGTCTTCATTGTTGTTTACGCTGCAAATAATCAACAAACTATTTTTGTTTTTTTTTTATTATTATTATTATTATTATTATTATTATTTGTCCTCGTCACTGTTTTACTAATAGCGTTTGCTTTTGTCTTTCTGCACCTTCTACAATATTTTTAGCTTTTCTCAAAGAAGGGGAGGTTGTGCTTAATTGCGTTACAGAACTTGGAATCATAGCAAAACTAGAAGCAGCAGTACTCTGAAGATTGTATTTTTACCTCTTTATTTCTCTCTATCTATCTCTCTTCCTCATTCTTCCCGCCTTTCTCTACATTCGTTTCCTGTATTTCCTCCCCCTTTTCCTTCGTTCTAAGCTTTTCTCTGTCTGTTTGAACTGTTGTTTTCTCTCATCACTGTTACTTGAGCAGTTCTTTCTCTCCTTTTCCTTTTCATACTCTTCTCTCTCATCTTCTTTTCCTTCAACTGAGTTCTCTGTTTGACTTTCTCTCTCATCTTAGTTAACTAAATCCCCCCACACCCCTTCTCTTACTTCTGCTATTTTCGTTAGTAAGTTTGATCCCGTTTACTTTTTGTTTTGTCTTTCCTCTGACTTTTGTAAACTACGTTATCTTCTCTTTTTCTGCCTCACCTTCATTGGCCAATTTTTCTCTTTCTCCCTCTCGCTAACTTCTTTCACACTTTCCTTTTATTAGGTAAGTTGCTCTATCTATCTATCTATCTATCTATCTATCTATCTATCTATCTATCTATCTATCTATCTGAAAGTGGTCATATCTATATATCTATTTATTGATCTATCGGAAAGTGGTCATATCTATCTATCTATCTATCTATCTATCTATCTATCTATCTATCTATCTATCTGAAAGCGGTCATTATCTATCTATCTATCTATCTATTTATTTATCTATCGGAAAGTGGCCATATCTATCTATCTATCTATCTATCTATCTATCTATCTATCTATCTATCTATTATGTCACTTTCATTAGCCAACATGATATTCCACTTTACCACATTTTTTACTATTTTTGATGAAAGTTATCTCCTGTCTGTCTATCTATCAATTTATCTCATAATATTCACTATCTATCTATCTATCTATCTATCTATCTATCTATCTATCTATCTATCTATCTATCTATCTCGGTGTATTAATATCTATCTGTTTATTTCGGTGTGTTTATATCTATCTATCTATCTATCTATCTATCTATCTATCTATCTATCTATCTATATCAATGTATTCATATCTATCTATCTATTTCTGTGTATTCATTATCTATCTATCTATCTATCTATCTATCTATCTATCTATCTATCTATCTTGGTGTGTTCATATCTATCTCATAATGTTCACTATCAGCCTGCCTGTCGGCTGCTTATGACATCACGTTGAAACACCAGTCCGTGTACTATCTCAGTTAAGCAATGTTGAGCTTGGCCTGTACCTATCTGGGTGAGCGCCTGGGAATGCGGGTGGTGTAACAGATAATGGCTCGGAATTGTTAATCTGAGAGGTAAGTTATATTCACTTACGCACAAATAAAATTGGGAAAAGTATGAATCCACCTCCCCCCCCCCGCTGTGGGTTAATAAATGAGATTTTATCACTAAACTCCTATTGTCTAAAAAGAAAGAATAGGTTCTTGCAATCTAAAATATTTTCTTGTTTTATATAACCTGCAGTGGGTTGATAAGCCGTAAAAAACGAATCAATATATCTCTCTGTATGACCCTCCTCTCTCGCTCGCTCTATCTATCTATCTATCTATCTATCTATCTATCTATCTATCTATCTACTCTCTGACCTTCCAAAGCTGAGATATTCCTCATCGCTTTTGTCTTTCTTATCCCAATCGTTAGTTGATTCTTCCAACTCTCTCTCTCTCTCTCTCTCTCTCTCTATCTCTATATATATATATATATATATATATATATATATATATATATATATCATTATTCTCTCCGACCTTCCTTAGCTGACCGTTCCTTTTCTCTCTTTTTCTGTTTAGTTCCTCCTACATTTATAACCTACGTCTTCCGTTCCTCTTTCCGTCTCTTTTCTCCCACCTCGTTTAACCAAGTTTTTCCTTCTCTCTTTTCTATAAACTATTTCTCTCTTTCTTTCTTTCTCTCTCTCTCTATCTCTCTCTCTCTCTCACACACACACACACATACACACACCCTCTTCTGTCCCATTTTCTATACCGAATTATGCTCTCTCATCTTTTCCACTTTTATTAAACGATATTTCCTTCTCTCTTTCTTTCTTTATTCTTAACTTGGTTAGAACAGTTATTTACTTTCTCTCCCACTCTCTATCTATCTATCTATCTATCTATCTATCTATCTATCTATCTATCTATCTATCTATCTCTGTATTTCTCTCTCTAACTTCTCGACCATATTCTCTAGCCAAATATTTCTCTCAATTTCTCTTAATCTTTTTCGTCACCCTCTTTAACAACGCGTGAATCTCGTTTTCCCTTTACTTCACTCTCGTCTTTCTTATCATACATTTCTCTTCAACCCCCTCCCTTTGTTACCAGTTGATATTTTTCTTCATTCTGTTTCTCTTTCTTAACCATCTAGTTCCTACTCTCCCGTTCTTTCTCATCTCTCTTCATCTCTTTCACTGACTCTCCTCTCTCATCCTTGTTAGCTGATTTGTTTTTGTTTTTTTGTTTTTTATTTGTTTTTTGCATTTTCTCTCTCTTCACTGTCATCTTTTCTTCTGTGTCCATCTCTCAATTCTCTCACCTTCGTTGTCTGATTTATCCCCCCTCTACTTCTCTCTCTGTATCCTTCCACACTCACCCTTGTTAACAGACTTTCTCCATCACTCTCTGATTCTCACCCTTCCTACCTTTTTAACTAATTTTTACTTCTCTCTCTTATTTCTCATCTTTTTTACTTCACATGTTTTCTTTCTTTCTTTTTCTTTCTGTATTTCTTTCTTTCTTTCCTTCTTTTTCTCTCTTTCTTTCTTTCCTTCTTTCTTTTTCTTTCTTTCTTTTTCTGTCTTTCTTTCTTTCCTTCTTTCTTTCTTTCTTTTTTCTGTCTTTCTTTCTTTCTTTCTTTTTTCTCTCTTTCTTTCTTTCCTTCTTTCTTTTTCTTTCTTTCTTTTTCTGTCTTTCTTTCTTTCCTTCTTTCTTTCTTTCTTTTTTCTGTCTTTCTTTCTTTCCTTCTTTCTTTTTTCTCTCTTTCTTTCTTTCCTTCTTTCTTTCTTTCCTTCCTTCTTTCTTTTTTCTTTCTTTCTTTCTTTTTCTTTCTTTCTTTCTTTCTTTCTTTTTTCTGTCTTTCTTTCTTTCTGTATTTCCTTCTTCCTTTCTTTCCTTCTTTCTTTCTTTCTTTCTTTCTTTCCTTCTTCCTTTCTTTCCTTCTTTCTTTTTTCTTTCTTTCTTTCCTTCTTTCTTTTTTTGTCTTTCTTCCTTTCTTTCTTTCTTTCTTTCTTTCTTTCTTTCTTTCTGTCTTTCCTTCTTTCTTTCGTTATTTCTTTCTTCCTTTCTTTCCTTCTTTCTTTCTTTCCTTTTTTCTTTTTTCTTTCTTTTTTCTTTCTTTCTTTTTCTTTCTTTCCTTCTTTCTTTCTTTCTTTATTTCTTTCCTTCTTTCTTTTTTCTTTCTTTCTTTTTTCTTTCTTTCTTTTTGTTTGTTTCTTTGTCACTTTCTTTCGTTATTTCTTACTTTTCTAATCTGATTTGTCAGCGTCTCTCCCCTATCTTTATCATTCTTTCACTCTCATCTATACTAACCGACTTTCCCTTTCATTCCATCTTTCTCTCTTCCCCGTCCATGTTAATATATTTTTTACTTCTTTTTACCTCACTCTTCTCTTCCATCCCTGTTACCTGATACGTCTTCTTTCTTTCTTTCTTTCTTTCTTTCTTTCTTTCTTTCTTTTTCTTTCTTTCTGCCTTATGGCTAATGCATTTTTTTCCAGACATTTTTCCTATATTTCTCTTGATGCTGACCATAAATATATATAAAACGTATTTAGATAACAGCTCTTGCCCTTATTATTCGCCTTACAATCATCACTGCCCTCGATAATGCTATTTCTTATCTTTACTTGTATTACAACAATCCGCAGCCATTGTGACGGTCTCTAGGAACCAATTGTAAGTGTTTCTTCGAGACTCACAGACACACGTCTTGTAATTCTTGTCTTTTTTGACTGTTTTCCAAATATTTTCAGTTCTTTGTTTCTTCGCTTCTTTCCAACAATTTTGTAGTATTCTGCAGGACACTTCCACAAGCCACATTTAATTATGACTACTCTTATCATTCGCATTGTGGAACGAAAATTATATATCCGTTGTCTTTGTCTAGAATTTAAGGTAAGTAAGTACAAGCATTGTATTAATGGTCGTGCGCAAGTCTTCCTTCTGCAGAGTTGAAAAAATCAAAGAAATGTTTCTACTTATTTTATCGTTGGAAAGTTTTAAACATTGTTAGTATATATCTGTTTTCTTTTTCTTTGTCCAGAATTTAGGGTATGTACAAGCATTTTATTAATGGTCGAACTCAAGTCAGCTTTACGCATTGTTGGAACAACCAAAGACTTGTTTCTACTTATTTTATCATTAGAAGGTTTAAACATAATTATGGTATATCTGTTTCCTTTTATTGGGCCAGAATTTAGGGTAAGTAATGATAACCATCGTAATAATTGTCAATCTCATGTTAGCTAACCAAAGAAAAAGCTAGACTCACTTGATAGGTGAAGGTTTTGGAAGCCAGGTGTGAACCCCATAATTTGGAAAAGTTGAAAGAGTGAATCAGATGTCAATGGACCAGGGAAACTAACGTGCTGTAGTGGGACCACCTGTTTTTTTACGTGCTGCTAAATATGGGAACCTGAAGAAAGAGCGTGAGACAGGAAAATGTTTCTCTTTTTATGGACGTAACAAGCGCCGTCTAACGGTGTTGGACGAAACCAAGTGGGTTAATCAGATTTTCGGTTCCTTTATTCTGAGCATCATGAGAAAAATTAATTTTTTCTTTTTTTATTATTTATTATTATTTTATTTATCGATTTTATTTCATTTTCCCACAAAAGCTTTAAAAAATGGATGGTCCACATTCGGTCTAATCTGCCTCTTGTAAAGAGAAATCATGGTCATAGAATTTAGATACTTCCAGGAGGGTTAGAATAAGCCGAGCCATTTGTAGAACATTTTTATGATTGGGTCATATATAGGAGTTTCCATTATTAAAAAATTACATCTTTAAGTGCTGAATCTAGGTGCGTCGTCCGTGTTGTTGCTCCCATGTCACTAGAAGTTTCGGGTCTAAATAAGCAACAGACTTCTTCGATGGGTGACCCGACCGAATATGATCAGTATTCGGCCCGCACCTAGAACAAAAATTGCTACTAGCTTTAAGGACGTGTTTTATATAAGTTCCCCAGAAAACGGCAACTAATCAAGACTTCACTTGGGCTATTCGATGTTATAGATCCGGTGTGCTTCGTTGTACTGATCTTCCTACATGCGGCCAACACAGGATGTTTTTTGGAAGAAGAGAAGAAAACAAACCAATATATATATATATATATATATATATATATATATATATATATATATATTAATAAAATAAAGACGATTTGTTATATTGGCTCGTCTTACGTCTTACTTCATCTTTCTCTTTTAACTTTATTATATCTTATTTAAGGTTATGAAGTCAACTTGTGATCCAACTGACGTTCAAAGAATTGGGGCATTATTGAGAATAACTGTTCATCGTGACTAGAGAAAAAAGCTCGTGATGTGAACGATATTGCTTAGTCTACAAGTTACTTACAGTATCTGATGTCTCTAAGGTGGCATTCGCCTAAATACTACAAATTTTCGACATTGCCTAACAACGAGAACCAGCGTTTTTTGCTTTTTTTTCTTCACCAATTTATCATCCCTTTTCTCTTCTTTCATTCTTTTCTTCTCTTTATCTTCCTTCTCTTCATTACGATCTCTCTTTTTTTTTCAACATTTTTCTCTATACGTTTCCCGTTCCCATATTTGTATTTTCGCACGTTTCATAACATACTTGTATTATTTCTATTCTCTACTTTTCTTATATTTTTACCTACATTTTTTTTTCCATCTTTCTCTGTTTTATTATCTCTACCCTTCCCGAAGACATTTTATTGTCTTTTCCGCCTTTTTGTTATTTTTTCTCGCAATCAAATACTCTTTGATATTCAATCCGCTTGTCAAGCGCCCTCTACTTCCTTGCGCTTGTTTCAGGGCGGTAACCTCCCTTGATGTATCCATTATTTGCGTGCCGCTCCATAAAAGGTTGATGTATCTGTGTCTCTAACCTTCCAACACTCTATCACAGGTGGCGTTCGATCCACACTTCTTTCTCGTCGTTTTTCTTTCCCGTGCGCCGTGCCAGAAATTTTTGAAGTACTTTATCGGACACACAGCAGTAGCATTCGCGTAACATACGGTTTAGTTTCTCCTGATGAATCAGAATGCGGGAGAAAAGAATAAAGTTTTAAACGCATTAAAAATAGCAAAATATTTTTTTAATACAAAATCTAGTATGAAATGGACAAAGTCCGACAATTATTTTAAGACATTTTTATGTTTGTTTTTTTATAGACCCAAATATTTAAGTAAATGCTCCGTTTATAATAAACAGTATAAACAACATTTACCGAAACGCTCCTCTGTGGCTGAATCGGTAAAAGCACATCAGGCTATATGACGGTTCCGTATATAATACAGGTCCGATTCCTGTCGGAGGACGCATATTTTCTATGAAAATTTCTCGGACATTCTGGCCGGTAAATGTTGTTAATAC